CACAATCGCTCGCACAGCTGCGTTCTGGACTAACTGAAGTCTTCGAACACTCTTCAAGGGCAGCCCCAAGTAGAGCGAGTTACAGTAATCCAGTCTTGAGGTGACGAGGGGGTGAGTGACTATCTGAAGGGCCTCCCGGTCCAAATAGGGTCGCAATTGGTGCACCAGGTGAACGTGGGCAAAGGCCCCCCTGGTCACAGCCGACAAATGATGTTCTAAGATCAGCTGTGGGTCTGTGAGATCCCCTAAAAATGTCACCAATGGCATTTTCATCCTGTATCCAGGCCTGAATCCTGACTGAAAGGGGTCCACATATTACTCTCCATCCATAGGCCTCTGTAGCTGTAGTGCAACCACCTTAATCACCTCCTCCCCTTCTTAGAAAATTGTCCAGTATGATGAGATCCAGTGAGGGTTTCTTGAGGAGGGGCAGACTAGCTCCTCCTTAAGAACCAGAGGAACAACCTCCTCACTCAAGGAAGAATTGTCCACCTGTAGAATTCACTCCCACAACATCCCAAAAGCAGCTTTAGATAGCCAGGATGGGTATGGATCATAAGAACAAGTGGCAAAGCTCACAGTCATATGGAACCTGTACACTTCCTCAAGCCCAACCAGTTCAAACCATTCCCAGATAGCAAGGCAAGACTATCCTAGGCATCTACTCAGGATCTACAACAAGCCCCATGTCCAATTGAGAATTAATTTGAAATACTTTGACAAATGCTTATCAATTTTTTTCTACATGGCTTTGTAGGGGGGTTCTCCAAAGTCCCTTTATCCCAAATTGTGGGCCACCTGTAACAAGGCCACCAGAAAGCTGTCTGCAGACACAATAAGTGGCGGAGTTTTGTCGCTTTGCTACTTTCTGCTCTAATTAGGCATTTGTTATTTTGGTTTTGGACCGTGTGTGTGTGTGTGTGTGTGTGTGTGTGTGTGTGTGTGTGTGTGTGTGTGTACATACATACATATATCGCTCTCGCGCACGCGCGCATACACACACATACACATATATACATATACACATAATATCTTTTAGGTATTTGAAAGGTATGATTTTTTAATCACAGTGTTGCTAATATTTAAGGAAGGTGTTTTGTTGTTTTTTAACTGTATAAGCCACATAGAATTTGTGATTGGGCAGTCTATGATACAACAAACAAGTCTATCTTCTTTTACATTTCATACAGTGACAATGCAGACACAAAGCTTCCTCAGTAAACCAGAAGGCTCAGGAATGAGCCACTCACCATTATACTCCTGCCTCACACCTTTGTCCCACGGGAAAATGTACTGCTAGTAACAGCCTGCAAGCCTTTTTGCAGTTCTTTCAACTCTACCCTCCGAAAAGGTGTTGCTACCCAATGTGTCCAAGGAGATAAAGACCGTTCTACAAGATTCTCAAAATATTTAGTACAACGAAGAATAAAAAGACAAGAGGGGAAATGAACTTGGCCCTAAACATGGCAGTTTATTGTGTTCAGTGCCTGGAATTTACTTTGTCACTTTACTAGCAGCATGACTATGGCACCCTGTGAAAGGCCTGACATTTACCTCATTACGAGAAGCTGCAGCACGGTGTAACGGGGTTAGCCAAAGAGTGTCCTTTGCATTGACGTTAGCACCTATCCAAAGAAAAGAAAGGGGATGAAGCAAGTTCTCTCAAGCATGATTGATTAAGAGAAGAAAACAAACATTATAGTAAACTGGTTGAATAGCAAGGCATTCCTTAGACTTTCATCTTAACAATAAGACCATTTTTAATTTTTAATCCTAGTTCTTATTTAGCAAACAGCTGTTTCCCAAGGAAACTGCCAACTGATTAATAAGGAAAGAACATTAGTACTGCATTTAAGAGGCATCCATCTTTAAAAAATGTGGTCGAAAATTAAAACAATTGTCCCATTACCTGCCAAACATTCTATATGCTAAATCAGCGCCATGAGTTGCAGTGGCACAGTGGTTAGAGTGCAGTACTGCAGGCTACTTCTGCTGACTGTCGGCTGCCTGCAATTTGGCAGTTCAAATCTCACCAGGCTCAAGGTTGACTCAGCCTTCCATCCTTCCAAGGTCAATAAAATGAGGACCCAGATTGTTGGGGGCAATAGGCTGACTCTGTAAACAGCTTAGAGAGGGCTATTGAGATTGTGAAGCAGTATAGAAGTGTCATTGCTATTTATTTCAAATGTTGGGGGGGGGGGAGGAGTTGTGTGAATCACATCTGAAAAAGATGTAATCTCCAGAATTAACTTCCATAGATTTCCACACAATTCCTCTTACAGAATCATAGAGTTGGAAGGGATCTTGGAGGTCTTCTAGTCTAATCCCCTGCTCAAGCAGGAGACCCTATTCCATTCAAGACAAGTGACTGCACAGTCTCTTCTTAAAAGTCTCCAGTGATGAAGCACTGGCAACTTCAGAAGGCAAGCTGTTCCACTGGTTAATTGTTGTCACTGACAGGAAATTTCTTTTGGTTCCAGGTTGCTTCTCTCCTTGATTAGTTTCCATCCATCGTTTCTTGTCCTGTCTTCAGGTGCTTTGGAAAATAAATTGACCCCCCCCTTCTTGGTGGCAGCCCTCAAATATTAGAACACTGCTATCATGTCACCTCTAGCTCTTTTCGCTAGACTAGACAACTCCAATTCCTGCAAATGTTTTAGCCTCCAGCCCCCTAATTATCTTTGTTGCTCTTTTCTGCATTCTTTCCAGAGTCTCAACATTTAGCAAGCATCAGTAACTAGAAAACCAGCCTAATAAAGGGACTGAGAGGATCAAAGCTCATTCCAATCTTCATGCAGATTTTTTTTAAAAGAGAAAAACGATGTGGGCAACTTCAAAGACTATCACTTGCTTTAGGTTATCATGAGCCAGTGTTTTTTTTTATGGCTGTTAATTTGGAAAGATTTAGCACATGGATCAAAAACCATCTGTGTTGGCTCTGCTGTCCAGAAGGCTAATTCAGCCCTGCAACCTACACAGGAAGAGTTACAGTATACAGGGCTGTCAGTTTTAAAATAGCTTCACTGAACAGAATGAGAACATTTTCATAAATCTCCGCTGCTTGAGAATCATGACTAGCAATAAGAATATTACTAACAGCAATCTGCTGGCTACAGCACTTTTAAGGTAGAAAACACAAAAACGCTTTATGAGCTCTCTCTCTCATTCATTCTTTGTGACACCCGAGGCACAGATAGTTATATTTCCTGTCTTAAAAAGATTGCCAGAGGCTTTGCCGAAGTCTGGCTCTGGATCTCCCCTACTCAAAGCCAACAATAGGACTCTATAAAGGTAAAGGTTCCCCGCGCACATATGTGCTACGCATTTCCGACTCTAGTGGGCGGTGCTCATCTCCGTTTCAAAGCCAAAGAGCCAGCGCTGTCCAAACAAATCTCCATGGCCAGCATGACTAAATGCACAGAACGCTGTTACCTTCCCACCAAAGGTGGTTCCTATTTCCTAGGGATTTGAACTGCCGACCTTTTTGATCGACAAACTCAGTGTCTTAGCCACTGAGCCACCACATCTATAGAAACTTGATTACCATTCCAATATTAAATCCCTGACAGTTTGGCCAATGATAAAATAAGTGTGTCCAAAATAAAATTTAAAAATGGGAACATTTCCCCATCCTTACCTGATAGTATTAGGAGTTCAACAATAGAGGTGTCCCCTAAGTATGCAGCTGCGTGCAAAGGGGTTCGTCTCTCTTGGTCCTGATTTGGGAAAACAAAATCATCAATATATACATATACATACACACACACAAATTTGTGCATTCTATATTCTGCGTAATCTAAGGATATTTATTTATTGACTAAATATCTATTCCACCCTTGCTATCAAGAGTGACTCTGAGTGATTAAAATCATCTTGTGCTTAGATCTGCAATTCAGGTAGTCCCTGCCCTACAACCATTCATTTAATGACAGCACTGAAAAAAGTTGCTATAACTTGTCCTCACAATTTACCATCACAGCATCCCCATGATCACATGAACAAAATTTGGGCATTTGGTAACTGGCATGTATTAATAGCAGTGGTGGCATCCCAGGGTCACATGATCACCATTTGTGGCTCCAACAAGCAAAGTCTATGGGGAAAGCCAGATTCACTTAACAAATATGTGATTCACTTAACAAGCATGGTGGTTCACTTAATGACTATGGCAAAAATGTTGTCATATCATCTGCTACTCACTTAATTGCATCACTCAGCAATGGAAATTCCAGTTCCAATTACAGTCTTAAGTCAAGAACTAACTGTATATTTCCACAATTTATATGAGGGTTTTTTTGAACTTATTTTAATACAACATGCTAGATACTAGGTAGCAAACATATTAAACTCATCTGCCTACAAGTAAACATATCTTCCATATATACTCAATGTATCTAGCAAAAGCCAGTAACGTTTGATTAGTTAAATAATTTGCCTCAAGTCAGGAATAACTGAGGATCCTTTGAGTAGACAGAATATAAACTGCATTATACAACTTTAATAACAGTAAATCTTATACAGGTAGTCTTTGATTTACTATCATAATTGACCCCAAAATTTCTGTTGCTAAGCAAGAGAATTTTGCCCCATTTTGTGACCTTTCTTGCCACATTTGCTAAGTGAATCACTGCAATTTTTAAAAAAACCAACACACAGTTCTAGGCTACATAAACAGAGGGTTAGGGTTAGGGTTGGAATACTGCATTCAGTTTTGGTCGCCACAATGTAGAAAAGATGTGGAGACTCTAGAAAGAGTGCAGAGAAGAGCAACAAAGATGATTAGGGGACTGGAGGCTAAAACATATGAAGAACGGTTGCAGGAACTGGGTATGTCTAGTTGAATGAAAAGAATGACTAGGGGAGACATGACAGCAGTGTTCCAATATCTCAGGGAGTCAAGCTATTCTCCAAGGCACCTGAAGGTAGAACAAGAAGCAATGGGTGGAAACTAATCAAGGAAAGAAGCAACTTAGAACTGAGGAGAAATTTCCTGACAGTTAGAACAATTGATCAGTGGAACAGAAGTTGCCTCCAGAAGTTGTGAATGCCACAACACTGGAAATCTTTAAGATGATGTTGGATAGCCATTTGTCTGAAACAGTATAGGGTTTCCTGCCTAGGCAGGGAGTTGGACTAGAAGACCTCCAAGGTCCCTTCCAACTCTGCTATTGTATTAATTGTTTAAAAAAATGGTTGTTATGTGACTCTGGCTTCCCCATTGACTATGCTTGTCAGAAGGTTGCAAAAGGTGATTGTATCACTCCATAACCTTCATAAATACATGCCTGTTACCAAGCATCTAAATTTTGACCACATGATCTTGGGGATGTTGCAAAGGTCCTAAGTGTGAAAAATGGCCATGTCACTTTTTTATAGTAACTTTGAACAATCACTAAATGAATGGTTGTAAGTTGAGGCCTACCTATATGTATACCCAACTATTCTTGTTTTTCTCCTGTGATGACATAAAGTAAAAATTAATTCAACTGCCCCTCACTATCTAGTCATCATGACCTCTTCTTTCAACTCATATGTCAAGTTGGCTTTTTTGGGCCGCTTTTGAATCCAGTTATTCATTTTAACTTAGCCAAGTTCAATGAGCTTAATTAGAAGGAAGGGGTTTTGTCATGAATATGTAATCTTACCTTTTATTAGGATGCTTTCTTCCTGATGACTTTCAAGAAAAAATTAACTACCAAGAATTGAGTAAAGGTCTCGAAGTGTTTTCAAATTGTTCCTGCAAATTCTAGGGTTTCTTAACACTTACCAATGGCTCATCAGTGAATAAAACTCAGTAACTGTGAACATGTTTTTTGTAAAAGCCAATTAGTCTACAACTACTGACATTTTTGCACAATCATGATTTAACCTCAACTGCGTGTTATTCAAAGAAAATAAGAGTAAGCTTAACAAGTGTTCAATCCCTGATATTAGTTAAGTATATACTTTTAAATCTTTAGCAATACAGTGACATTCTGTCAATGTGCCAGGATTATATACACAAATTTCCCAGAAAGCAGAATAGTACATATTATAAAACACGTATGCAAGTGTACTGGTAGCAAGATGGTTAATCTCAGTTTGCTCACTTCAGAATGGAAAATACAATTAAATGTAAGGCAACTAACAGTGCAATCATAGCTTTAAAGAGCTCTAAAACTTTTTAACGTACAGTGAACAATACCTTTATTGCAATGTTGGAAAGAATATTAAGCAATAGACAAGGAAACAACAAAACCTCATACAATTCTGAATACCCAAATTCACCTGAATTAGAAAGCTTTCAGTAGGGAACTTTAGCTCTGGAAAACCTTCTGCAGAAAACATTTCCACTCATATCTCTGCTTTCCTCTCTGACGTATCTAAATCAACATCTAACTAGCCAGCCAAGTAGTGAAAATCACAGTCAATCCCACTGTGTTAAATAACAACGCAATATTACAAGTGTGTACAGGTAGGCCTTGAATTAACATGTGGCTGCTTACTAGTTGTCTGAACTCGTGACAGACCATCCAAAGGTAGTCCTTGACTTACAACCACTAACTTAATGACTGTTAAATAACAAGGGCAATGAGAAAATGACTTATAAGATGTTTTCACAGTTGTGTGCAGCATCCCGAGTCACATGAACAAACTCCAGGTGCTTGGCAACTGGTGTGTATTTATAATGGTTGCAGTGTTCTAGGGTCCTGGAGTTGTCATTTGCGACCTTCCTAGGCACCTTCTAACAAGTTAAGTCCAATGTGGCAAGCCAGATTTGCCTAAATATTGCACAATTCACTTAATAGCTGTAGTGATTTGCTTAATAACCGTGGCAAAGGGCCGTAAAATGGGGCATGACTTACTTAACAACTGCCTTGCTTAGAAACAGAAATGTTGGTCTCTTATGGTTGTAAATAGAGGACTATCTGTAATTGGCAGTTACTTCAGTAACTCTAGCTTTCATTACAGATAGTCCTCAATTTGCCATGGGTCATTTAAAGACCATTCAAAATTACGACCAGCTGTAAAGGCTGCTTTACGGACCACAAAGCACTGCATCCCCCCCCCCTCACCCGCCTTAATTACATAGCCGCATTACAAGTGCTTGGTAACCAGACTGCAAACTAGATTTACTGCTTGGCAACCAGACTGCCAACCTGAGCGACAGACTGCCAAGTGTCCCTCAACCACTTACAATCTGGTCAATTGCAATCTTCTCTGCAGACTTCCCCAGAGAAATTGGTTAGGAAGCAGGCAGGAAAGATTGGAAAGGAAGGGGCTGAAGTCCTTCCGTGGGTTGCAGAAATCTCTGTCCCTTTAGCCCCAGGAAAGATTTCTGCTTTGTGCATGGAGGGGAGGGGACATCCTTTGGCAGGCTGCAGAAACAGAATTGGAATTCTCCCTGCAGGCTTTTGAGCTGAAATTCTTTGATAGGCAGCTCTTTCACTCTCTCCACTTAACAACCCAGGAAACTGCTGGGGTTGCAGTGGTTGAATGAAGCAATCACATGGCACCTTGCTTAACTACTGCTTCACTCAGCAACCAATGTTCTGATCCCAACCGTGGTCGTAAGTGAAGGATTACCTGTGACCCTAAGAAGCAAATGCAACCAAGGTTTGAAAATTCAATGCCAATTAAAAGAATCTTATTCAAAGTAGATGCAATACAGATGGATTTGGGCACTCCAAATATCACTCTCCATCCGTTCCAAGGTCAAAGCAGCTCATAAGTAGCACAATTTGTGGCAAGATTTATGTATTAAATAAGCATGTATTATGTATCTGCTTCCACTAAGTGAGCCAGAATGAAATGAAAAGCCAAATGCAGCTTCATGGGATGTACAAGAATAAAATTTAAAAACCTATAACACAAGCTGTTCTCACTCAGAGACCACAAGACTAATCCAGAACACACTTCATGCCAAACACAACTGCTAATTCCGGTACCACCCACTGCTCAGTACAACTAGACCAATACATCTGGTACTGTGCAGCCAATTCCCAACAAAGTCGCTATTTACCAATAATGAACAATCCCCTCTGCTATGCACTAATTCTGAATATACAAAGTGCTTTGCTATCCTTATCTATTTTTAACTACCACAACCTTAGAATTATTTAATGATTATAATAGTTTTACAAATCTGGAACCAATGCCAAGATATGAAAAACGGTTTGAAAAAGGCCCACTGAAAACCCACCCAAACCCAGACTCTCTTAAGATGTGGGAATGTCATATCTAATGTCCTACATGTGATCTTTAGGCAATAAAGACGACATAAAATAGCCAGCTGGAAGGAAAGGCCAATTTTGGGGAAATATACTGTGTGCGCATAGCCAAGAGAAGCAGAAACACTTACAGAAAGACTTACCAACACATTGATATTCTCCTTCTGACTCAGTAATGACCGTACCTCCTCTATATCACGGTTAAAAATGGCTTGGACCAGAGGAGGCTGCAAAAGACACAAAACAGTAAGATTGAATAAAGAATGGTGAAGAAAGAAAAATCAACCATTAATAGCAGAAACCCACAAATCTGAGCAAAGAATTTTCAAAAATCCACTGTATCCTTAGGCAGAAGGGGTGATGTGATTAAATCCTCAGCTATTGACTTTTAATCTCATAACTCCATGATGGGGAACCTGTGCCCGAAGTGGCATGCGGAGCCATGTTGCCTGGCACATGCAGCATCATCAGTTCCTCTTCTGGGTTTCTGGAGCACATGCACACACGACGATCAGCTGGCTTTTGTGCATGCGGCAGTGCCGGAAACTGGAAGAGCTGGTCTTCCGTTTTCCGGCATAAGCATGCGTGCCGGCCAGTTGATTGGCGTATGTGCATGCATGACAGTAACTGGAAGACTTGCTGGTTGGCGCACATGCATGTGCCGGAAACCAAAGTTCATTTTCCGGTGCGCGCATGCCCCCTGGCCAGCTCCTCTTCCATGTTGCAGCCCAGACAAGCACATGCAAAGTGTTCCCTTTTTGGCATTCAGTGCCGAAAAGATTCACCATCACTGTCATAGCTGCTCACACGAAATAACTGGAATTCTGGATAAGCTCCTTACCACTGATTGTTTAAAGACCATTCGGAGTTAGGATAGCCTCAGAAAGGGTGCTCTACCTTCTGCAAAACACTTTCGGCTATCCTAAAATGTCAGACACCCCCCCCCCTCCAGTCATATGACCATACTTCAAGCACTTGGCCACTGGCTCACATTTTATGACTGATTGCTGCATCTTGTGTTCACATGACCAGTTTCCACAAAAGATACCCATTTGGGAGAATGCCTTCGCACTTACATCTATGTGATTTGCAATTGTAAAATTGGGTCCAATCACATGGGTGCCTCAACTTATAGCCATCACGACTTACAATCAAAATTCCACTTCCAAATGCACCGGAAAGCAAATCTTCCAGTCTTTTCTGATAATCTTGGCTTGTATTCCTCTAGTCACAAAATAACCTATACCACCATTTGATGAAGAGGGTACAGTAGATGAAGTAGCGTATGCACAAGTTCCTTTAAGATGATGGCAGAAGAGAAAACTATTGTAGATCTTTTTGGTCTTTTTCCCACTATAGATGCAAGGGTTCACTTTGGCAATTTTGGCAATCTCATTATTTCCGGCAACTATGTATTCTGCTCTTTTCTAATAACCTGCCTGCAAAGAGTGCAGAAGGAATAAATGTGTTGTAGCATGCAAAAGCAACGCATTATGCTGCAATAAAAGGCCTCAATCCTTCCTTCAAGCCAAAAGAGAAAAGAAAGAGAAAACGGAAGCTGTATGTCATGCGGATCTTTGAAGCAGACAGATATTTCGCCATAGACTTTCCTTGTGCAACTTGCCAAGACCATGGGATGGTAAGGTAGGATTTTGCATCTGTTGGTCTGCATCATCAAGATCTATAATGGTATGCAGGAATGATGCTGGGAGAAAGGAAGGAGAGCCAAAGACAAGACAACTGCATGTAAAAGATGTCTCAGCTATAGAAGAGGGAATAGCATGGGAAATGTTTCAAAAGAAACTCCCCCTAGTTTTCCAGAAAGGGAAAGAAGAAATAGTTTCAGTCATGCAACAATCTGTTAATGCAGAGGTCCTCAAACTTTTTAAACAGGGGGCCAATTTATGATCCCTCAGACTGTTGAGGGGCTGGACCGGCTGGGTAAGCATGGCTAGGCGGTAATGTAACTGGGTGGGTGTGGCTAGGTGGGCATGTGACTGGCTGGGTGTGGCTAGGTGGGCATGTGACTGGCTGGGCGTGGC